TGCGTCATAGTTGTTCGAATTCTCTCTAACGCATTAAGCTAGAAGTGACAGAAAAAAACGTGAGTCTCTGATTATTATACATAGAACTTAGAAAATTAGGTATCGTTCACGGGTATTCGCATATTAAAGCGAATTCTACTTACGAACGTATAATTGGTTGGAGTTTAGAATACGCTAAATAGATATCCAATCAATTATGCATATAAATATAATTTGACACAGATGATCTTGATAATGACAGTGACAGTACTTTCACAATATCAACTGATAAAATGATAATTGCCATTCCAGGTTAGTATTTTCAGACATTTTAACTACAGTGAAAATTAAATTTTGTATTTATTGTCATAAAAATATTTTAAATATTCCGAGATATACCGAGAATGAAAAAAGACTAATATTAAAATTAATTAAATTAGTTTTAATTAGAAAAAGAGGCTGAGTTATCATTATTTCAATTTCTGTCGTTCGCGAATCAGATTGTGAATTCCGGAATGATATTGAGAAAATATCTTAAACTAATACCTTTATGGATATTTATATGTATTAAAACGGTTCTTTTTAGAACCACGACATTTTCTTGAAATGTAGGATATAATTGATACCAGCCACATATCTAGTGTAATCATTGATTTTCAAGAATCAGATTTTGAATGGGATTATAGATTGTTTGAAATATAATATTCATTTTTGTTATTCATAAAAAAGAAGGTAAACTTACATTCGGTATCTTGTTTTTTAACTAAACTCCATTAACGCGATTTCATCTGGATATCGGAACTGGTAGATTAACTCAAAAATCAACTGCTTCACTATTTAAACTATTTATATTGTTTTTTTTTAACTAAACTTTATAACCTTCATTCATTTGCACACCAAATCTGGTAGAATAACTCAAAAATCAACTGCTTCACTATATAAACTATTTCCACTATTTAATGACAACTCTTCACAAAATTAAACTATTGGCTGCCACACAAACTTATCAGAAAATTACTTATCCAAATATGACTGTTTTAAATCGATATTATTTTATCACAGGAATGTTTACTTTGATGCCTTGCAATTGTCCGTAAATTTTTTTACCTTGCAGTCAACTCTTAAAAGATTCTAGGAGAAAGCGTTGTTTTAAATAAACAAACCTTCCAATTCCCTACTGTTTGTAATAAATAATAATAAATCCATAAGCAATCTTAGCTAATTAAGCACTTTCCATGGAATGTATAAAATAAAAAAGAATAGACTAGAATTATGACAAACTGCTATGCATTAAAAAAAACAACCTTTTCACGTTTAGCCGATTACGATCCTGCAACTGTCAGATTTAACTAAAATGTCATGCAATAATTCTCGACATTCTTAAAATACTATATGACGTCAAAATTAGTGACGCACTGAAAAAAGGGTTTGGGACAGACTGTAGTTTATATACAGACATTAACAATCTGATGCCTCTATAGTTACCGAACATTTTGCGGTCTCCTTTTCAAATAAAGTGCGATGTCGATGAAACGCACCATATCCGGGATGAGAACAACTTCACCTAGTCTGTCCTGCGCACAGTACAAAAGAGTTCCTAATCAGTTCAGAGTTCTTCCGTACTGTTAGAAAATCCTCCTCATAAACACAAATTTTGAGGGCACCTTGCTTGAAAATAAAAGGATGATTTCACCTCGCACGATCACGGTGGAGAAAAATTGATTATCGTGCTATGGGTATCAAATTATCTATACTAATTTTGTTGGCAGCAAAGGAAAAGGAATGCAGATTATCTGTTAAACCATTCTCTCAGGTTTTTAAGCCATGACGTTTATTTTCGACCTGGCCCATCTTTTTTCATCTATCTTGCCTTGTATTATTAAATGAAGTATATTATATCTAATGGTGGATTCAACCGTTACTTGATGGAAATTCATTTTATGTAACAAACACTGAAAACTTTGTTTTCAAACTTCCACAAAATTTATTTTAAACTCTCTTTTAGTCTCTAATAAAATAGGTTAAGGAGGGAAGAACTGTCTCAAGTTAGTCATTCAGAATTATATCTGTGTTTTTTAATTTGTCGATTTCCATAGATTCTAACAAAGATAGCTTAAGGCCTTTATTTTGAATGTGAAGAATTTTAAATTCGTGATTTAAAGAATTATTATGATCTAGATCTAGAAGGTGAAGTGCGTATGTAGAATCTGTTTTTCTGTTATTGAAAGCCCTTTTATGTTCTGCTATTCGTTTATTAAAGTTTCTACCAGTTTGACCGATGTAAGGGTTTGGGCAGTCGCCACATTTAAGTTTGTACACACCACTGTGTAAGTGTTTTTTTATTTTGGCTCTTGTTGTTTTTAATACCTATATTTGCCTAGGTTTTTATTTGTTCGGAAAGCTGGTGTTATTCCTTTCTTTTTAATGTGTTTGGCTATTTTTGTTGATATTTTGCTGTATATGTAATCGAGCAGAAGGTACTGGGTTTTTTCTCTGGTGGCAAAAATACTAATTTCAGGGCTTTCTTGTGTAGTATTTGATTTAACATTTTATTAATTGTTTGTTCATTGTATCCGTTGTTTACTGCTATTTGCTTAGTGATATTTAATTATGTCTCAAAATTGAATTTTGACATCGGAATTTCTGTTGTCTATGTAACATACTATGATAGGCTGCCAGTTTATATTGTGTTGATGGGATGGTTATGGGATGATGAATTGTGTATAGTCGTGTCAGTATGGGTAGGTTTATGAAATATGGAGAAGTCATGTTTATTTTTAAGTCTGATAATTTTTAAATCTAAAAAATTTATGGATTGATTTTGTTCTGTTTCTATTGTAAATTCAATATGACTATGAAGTGAATGAAGTGAATTAATATACAACAAAAATTTTTATGACATGTTACATCTGAAATTTTACATCTTCTTGAAGTTTGCATAAACCAGGACTACTTTGAATTTAATAATCAAATATATACAAATAACAGTGCAGGACTTATAATGGGCAATCTTCTAAGCCCATTGTTATCAGATGTTTTTATGGATCATTCAGAGACAAAAATTTCAAAACATCCCGCATTTAAACAGATTTTATATTGGTGGAGATACGTAGACGACGTACTAGTATGTTTCACAGGAACTAACAGGCAACTTGACCAATTTTTGACTTGTTCAGACAGTTCGTAGTTCACGTTCAACGCCTTAATGATCGTTGGCAATGCAATAATCCCTGGTTTCTAGTAAGGTTTAAGTTGGTAAGTTGGTGCATATGATTTAGCTATTGGTATTGTTAAGGTATGACGTGATATTTGGCAGGTAAACATATTATTGTTTTTAACAGGAGTGGTAGTGTTTGTTGGTGTTTGTATTTGTAATAATAAAATGGCGAAAAGAGTTTCAAATTTTTCAAAAACTAAGGAAAAAGTTTTATTATATTTAGTTTTTAAATATAAGGACTATTTAGAATGTAAGAAAACGGACATGACTAATAATAAAATGAAGTGGGACGCGTGGATGAAACTTGCAAAATAATTTAATTCTGTTAGCGGGGAAACTGTGCGAGATGTTATAGTTTTAAAAAACAAGTATGAAAATTAAAAAAAAAACGCAAAAAGCAAAAAATTTGCGTAATTAAAAAGGTATTCCAACGGAAATGGGGGCGGTCCCGCGAAGACGTCTATTTTCACAGACAGTGAAGAAGTTATCCAGGATATCATAGGCCCGCAAATTACTGGATTGCAGTCTTCTTATGATTATGACTTAAGTGGTACATATATAATTTCTTTATTTCATTTATGTTTCAGATAGTTTTTTTAAATACCACGTGTTCAGTTGCCATTACTATACGTTATACTAATATTAGCATCTGCAATAAGTATTAATATTGATATTTTACAATACTTTTTTATGCTCCAATACTCCAAAATTTTAAAAATGGTTTTTATTTTAGAAAGAAAAATGCAAGAAGTGTCCACCTCAAAAGCTCTGGACATCCATGTAGACTTGCTGCTTTCGACAAGTGGTATGTATATTCATTTCACTTATGTTTAAAATAAAGGTTTTTTAATTAGCACATGTTCAGTTGCATTAGTGCATGTTTTCATTTGCCATTATTACATTTAATATGCTATATCCAAATTAGCCAATTGATATTTTGGAATATTTATCCAATTTTTAAAATATATTTATTGTAGAAAGAGAAATGCAAGAACCCTCCACATCCAAAGCACAGGACAGGCAGGCAGACTTCTACATTGGACTAGTGTATTAAGGCGCGTCCACACTATGCCAATGTTGGCCGTTGGCACTGCCAAATTGGCAAAGCCAAATGCTGGTCTCCCGTCCACATCTGGTTGGCAATGTTGGCATTTAGTCACACAATGTCTGCCGAAGAGGATTTACTTGTTGTTTCGGCTGCGTTAATAATCATTGAAAATAATGAAAAAATACGCAAACGGCGCAAACGACGGTTTTGGGTGCGTCCAAGTCTTCAAAGTAGAGCACAATATGGAACTAGTGACTTAATTAAGGATTTAATATTGGATGACGTTGACGAATTAAATCTCGAGTACAGATGTGGATGTGGTTTCAGAAATTTTTTTCGTATGAAAAGTGTTGATTTTGAAATTCTTCTGAATAAGATAGCTCATATCATCAAAAAGGAAGACACATCCTTCAGAAGATGTATTCCTCCCCAGGAACGTTTTGCAGTTACTTTACGATTCTTAGCGACGGGGGACTCTTATCACTCGTTAAGCTACATGTTCAAGATTTCGAAGCAAACGATTTCAAACATCATCCCGAATGTTTGTGAGGCAATTGTCAAAGTTTTACAACAATACATCAAGGTAAGATAAAAATAAGTATTTATTGTAAATGAACAGTTTATTTATTAAACATTTTTTTAGAGTTTAATACAGTACAACCTAAAGAAAACAAAATACTGTAATAATTCATTATTTATTATAACTGTCAAATGTATTTATTACAAATTTGTTGCAAGTTTAGTACAACTTGGGAACTAGAGTTCCATTAAAATATTGTCAATAGAGTCATAGTCTGTTGACGAATGGGCAGATGACACAGAACTCATTGCAGATTGTGGGGAGGTCATTTGCATTCGTCCTGAAGTAGACAGCTGCTCAAAATGTCTGTTTGATTTTGGATGTGCAGGTGTCACAGGAACAGAATATTGTTGCTGTGTATAGTTCGTCATCGGGTATAAAGGCTGTGAGTAAGTTGCGGTTGATAGGTTGCCGTTGTTATACTTACCCATTTCAGCTTCAAAAAGAATATTGCTAATTAAGTATTTTACAATTGTTTGTGCATTTGATGAAGAAAGGTCTCTAATACGCAGTCCTACTTCATCTCCAAAACATTTGAACTGGTCTGGCACTAGTGGACTACGTCCTTGAACCTCTCTCATAACTTCATCAACTGTATTTTGATCCTAAAAAACAGGAAAGATTTGTGATAAGATAGGGAGATAATAGGGACTTATTTTAAAGTTAAAAATACTTCAATATGTTATGGTTTCAGATGCCACAAAATGAAGCTAAATGGAACGTTATTGCAAAGGAGTTCTATGATAAGTGGAATTTCCCAAACTGTGTAGGAGCCTTTGATGGTAAGCATATCGCTTTGCAATCACCAATTAATAGTGGCACAGAATACTTCAACTACAAGGGGTACTTCAGTATAGTTCTCTTTGCGGTTGTAGATGCTAACTACAACTTCATTTATGCCAATGTTGGTTGTCAAGGCAGGATATCGGACGGAGGTGTTTTTAGTGAAACAACATTCAAAGAATGTCTTAAGAATAGCACATTGCATCTACCTCCCCCTGGTTATCTGCCAGGAAGAAGCAATACAACACCGTTTGTTTTTGTAGCAGATGATGCTTTTCCTATGCACAAACACATTATGAAACCATTTCCAGGAGTTCAAATAAAGGGTTCCAAACAAAGAGTGTTCAACTATCGGTTAAGCAGAGCACGTAGAGTGTCTGAGAATGTCTTTGGTATAATATCTTCTGTGTATCGCATACTACGGAGACCTATGCTATTACAACCAGAGCGGGCTACGAACGTAGTATTGGCTGTACTTTATCTGCACAATTACTGTCTTCTGACTAATGACTTCAAGAAGAAGCACTAATGAAGCACAAGCCGTTAGGAATGAATTTGCAGAGTTCTTTACTTCCCCATCTGGTATTTTACCTTTTCAACATGACAAATGATAAGCTAAAACCTGTGTTTATTGTAGTCGTATATTTATTTGTAATAACAATTTCTAATTACAGTGTTGATTAATAACTCATTATGTTGTCCCTAAGTGCCAGGCCGTTTAGGCAAATTGTACAGATTTTGTAATTAATTGTTGGAACATTTAAATATTTATAGGAACAATGAATGATGTGATAATAACATAGAAATTAGAGATAGCCTAAATGTGATCTAGTTTTAGAGAACATATGCATTTTGTCATTTAATTTGTTGAGTTCACTGTTCACTGAGGACTGCTATTATAAATAATGCTTAATATATTTACCTGTGGGATTATATCCATCATTGTCTTCGGCTGATTTCGGTCTTTGAGAAAAAGCATGTTGTTGTAACAAAACCATTTACTTTTGTACACATCATCACTTCTAGCACCAGACTTATTTGAATCTCTCTCCTTTTTTACTTCTCGTAAAAAGTGACACACTAGGTTCTTAATTTTTCTTTCCACTTCCTGTGCACCTACACCAAAACTATCAGCGATTTCAATTAAAGCGTCATGTTTTTTATTCCTGTCTTTGTATTCCTTTAAACGACAGTCCCATAAAACAGGACGATCTCGGTACAGGTTAATTAATTCACAAACTTCACCCCACCATTTGTCCACTCCATGACTGAATACGGCTCTATCCTAGACACAACTGAACTGAAGCCTCGTGAAGCTAACGGTTGGCACGTCCCCACTACTCCCTCTCCGTTGGCTTTCTTTGAAGTAGACCGACACTCGAGCAATTTTCGTTGGCACGGCGTTGGCTTTGCGGCACATGCCAATGGCTACGTCTACATTGTATTGGCTTTTCCAATTTGGCAGTGCCAACGGCCAACATTGGCATAGTGTGGACGCGCCTTAAGATATATGTTTTTTAATTCGTATATGTTCAGTTGCCATGTGGACGCGCCTTATGTGAAATGAAAATTTGCCAATAAGTATTAATATTTTGGAATACTTATTCAACTTTAAAAATATTTTTTATTTCAGAAGAGTACAGAACTGGCACTGAGGAAGATCAACCAGAAGTGTTGAAAATACTAATTCGAAACAAAGTTAAGATATTAAATTATTTTATTGTTTATTTACTATAATTTGGTTTATTTTTTAGAAGTAACTTTTGTGGTTCGACAATGCAGTTCACCAAAACATCAAGATAATAAGCAGTGTGCTCCTGGTAATTTATATTTTGTTATATTGTAAACAAGTTGGTTTAAAATGTTTCTTACATATTCGATTATTGGTCCAGATTATTGGTCTGCCTATACCCATTTAGGTAATACATAAATATTTTTAAACTTTAATTTTAATAAGTAGTATTAATTGTAACAATGTTCTATTTGTTACAGGTCCAAAAAGAATTTTACAAATTCAGTGACGAAATGGGGGAAAGCCAAGGTGACCTATATTGCGGATCAAGCATCATCCCTACAAAAGGAATAAAAAAAAGTTTGAAATTATGAAAATGGAGGCAGATAAGAGGATGGAAATAATGGAAGAGCAAAAGAAGCAGCAGCAGAAAGAGCATGATATAAAGGTGGAAATGTTGGAAAGAGAACACAATAAAAGGATAGAAATAATGAGAGCAGAGTTCTTCTTCTTTAAGTGCCGTCTCCTAATCGGAGGTTGGATATCATCATCACTATCTTTATCACTATCATCACTATAGAACTGCATTTAAACCAGTACCTTAAATTCTTCAACCATGACACTCTCCTTCCTCCTATACTCTTTCCTCCTCTTATCTTTCCCTGTATTATCAGCCTTAGCAGTTCATATCGCTGTCCCCTCATTACGTGTCCCAGATGTTGTAACTTTTTTATTTTTTATTGTGTTTATTATTTCGCATTATTTGCCCATCTCTCGCAATACTTCCGTGTTAGTTTTCTTCTGTGTCCATGCTATTCTAAGCATCCTCCTGTAACACCACATTTCAAAGGACTGTAACTAATTTATGTGTTCTTGCTTCAATGTCCAGCTTTGAAGTCCATAAGAGAGCAGAGTTAGAGAAAGTAAAAAACGAAATGGAAATTATGAAGGCAGAATCGAAAAGGAGATTACAGCTCAAGAAATGAAAAAATAATATAAAAATAAATATTTAAAAAAATAAAATTATTAAGTAAGCTCATGTGTTTTTATTTCCCATCCTTTTTAACTGAATTTAAGATCATTTTTAATACTACTTAATCACGTTATTGAATATTTAGCAATTATGCTACATTAAATGACATGCATTGTAATAATTTTGTATATTTTAGTTTTGGTCACCATTGACTGTAACGTTTTGGTCAGCATCGTTTTTAAAGAACTACGGTCCAATGATTCGGAACATTGGGAACCAGCTTTTATGTTTGTATAGTCGCTGCTAAATCATTATTACTTATTATATTATTATATATTATTTCGTTTCGTATTTGTTGTTTTGAAGTAATTAGTAAAATTAAGTGTTTAATTAGATGAGAGTTTAACGTTAATATCGGGTCAATAGATAAAACTAAATTTTTTTATAAAAATCTCCAAAAATAATAATTGTTTAAGACTTGTAGACTAAATGTACTTGCAATGAGTCACATATTTAACATATTTTCAAAAATCTCTACCGGTTCCACGAATTTACCATAAAGAACTTATCAAGCCTCGATAAAAACGTGTTTGTTTTCAAAAAGTAACCTATCTCTTCTGGCTAGCTTCCAAAGTTCACGGATATGTTGAATTTTTGGCGTATGTTGAAAAACACGTAGTTTGTTTTACTTTTGCTAGAGGTTATTCTGCGATCGTTTGCATTTTTAACACAAAAGTGATTATTAAATTCAAATATCTTTGAAATTAACAAAAAAGATGGCAGTATAAATAGTAATTATTAAACGTAAAGAAAAGTATCAACTGCAATTAACAAAAAAGTAACAATTGATATGAGGTTGAATGCTCGAATAAATGAACTTTGAAAATTAAGGCAATTATCGAGCACAAGTTTAATCAAATCTTGCCCAAGTACTTTCGCTTAATATAGCATCTTCAGGGGCATTTCGTTAAATATGGGCTATCCAGCAAGCGTAGAATGTGATAAACATGAATGTTAACATAAAAGTACAAAACACTACACTACAACTGTTTGTCATTGTTTTAGTGTAGTGTTTTGTACAATTTTATGTTAACATTCATGTTTATCACATTCTACGCTTACTGGATAGTCCATATTTGACGAAATGCCCCTGAAGATGCTATATTAAGCGAAAGTACTTGGGCAAGATTTGATTAAACTTGTGCTCGATAATTGCCTTAATTTTCGAAGTTTAAAAAAGTAACAGATTGAAAAGTCATATATACAAACATAAAGAAAAGTACCTGTCAAATGTAATTAACAAAAAACTAAAACAAAAGTGACATAACAGATTAGAAAGTTATATATAAAAATTTGATAAAATTAAACATCAATATCCGACACTATTACGCTAACTATCCTCGAGCCTTTTCAGGTGGCGGATAGAGGAACACATCCCAGATATAAGTAAACCAAACGCAGAGTCTGAGCCGGTGTGGGTGGCTGTAAATAGCGCCTGTGTCCAGAAAATCAGCTAAAACGCAAACAAAAACGGCAACGGGAAATCACTCGTAAATATTTCCCAAGAAAACTACAATGAGAGTACAAACAGAAACGGCCTTTAGTCTCCGGCAGATCTCCGGCAGACGGTGTAAAGAATCCAGGAGAGGAATAGTCTAAATATTTTAAATACGAACTTTAGGATTGCATCATGGAACGTTAGAAGCCTGTTTGAAACGAAAAAACTAGCAAAAGAGTGCCATGAGATGAAACAGATATTGTACTGACGTCTACGGATTTGCTAGTAAAAATTTGGGCCTTCAAAGTAATAAAGGCAAGGCCAGGCTCGCATGCGTGTTATCAAAACAACTTTTGAAAACGATGATCCAGTATGATTATACACTCCCAAACGTAAGAAATAATACACTGATATGATTATTTTTACTTCCCATTTTTTGTGGATATACATATAGAGAATAGATTTGTATTAAAGTGTTAATTCTGCAGCTGCATGAAGTTGGAATTCAGATAGATTGTCCAAAACCTCTGCGTCCTCAACTTTATACACGATCTGGCTTTTCTGAATTCGGCTTGTTCTTTGCCATAATTGCATATTTGTTGTTCTATTTTTTCTTTGATGTTCTGTTATTTCTTTTGTTTTATTTATTTGAAAAATATTCTTGCTATTGAAGGCATTACACTGATTCCTCTATAGTTATTTGATGACCTTTTGTCGCCGTTTTTTAAAGGCTTTCACACCATAACTTCTTCTTCTTATAGATGTGCCTATTCGTGACAAATGCTAGAGATCATCATGGCAATCTTTTTCTTATCTGTAGCAGTGCGGAAAAACTGCACAGATGTTGTGTTGAACCAGGTTCTTAAATTCTTTAGCCAGGAAGTTCTTCTTCTTCCTGGACCTCGCTTTCTAATTTTTTTTTCATTGCATAATGATAGGAGTATATATCTGGATTCATTTTGCATAATGTGTCCGAAGTATTGTAACTTTCAAGATTTGATGGTGATCAGTACTTTTCGGGTTATATTCATTCTTCTGAGGACCGCCTCATTTGTGACTCAGTCAGTCCACGGAATTTGAAGTATTGTCCGATATATTCATATCTCAAATGCTTCCAATTTTCTGCACTTATCTTGGTTCAAGGTCCACGATTCAACACCATAATAAAGGACTTAGCATCGCAGCATTCTTATTTTTATACCAAGAGAGGTTGTGGTTCTTGAAATAGACTTCAGTTGAAGGTGTATCTAGGCTTTCTGATGCACGCTCTTATCTCTTGGTTGTTGGTCCATTCTTCATTTATTATGGTGCTATGGTAGTTGTAGTTCTACACTCTTTCTACTGGGGTTTGGTTGACGTAGAGTTGACGTAAACGTAGAGTTGACCATCTTACTAATCTAATTTTCAGTGTCAGTGACACTGTTACCATGTAAGATTTTTTCATCTAAAAAAATAAAGTTCTGGCCTTCTCTATAGGTATTTTAATTTCTGTACTCATGTCCCAGTTCTCATTTTGCGGTAATCGCTGCATTCTCCTGCGTTTTTCTTTTTGGGAAGACAAATAAAGATGGACGTCAACCAATATTTGAGTAATGCGTCTGAACTATAAATTTGGATAAAGAGTGTCACTAAGACATCAATGTGCTTCTCATCTATAATTTTAAGTATTTCGATAGAAAGAATTTCAGGTCCAGGGTTTTCCTATTTCTTCTATCTAATATTTCTTCTTTTATAATATTCGGACTTATTTCTTTTGACGTAAGTTCTATGTATTTCAGGTCCCCTATTTCATCATCGAACAGTTCATCAACGTATTATGCCCAACGTTGTAATTTCTCGCCCAGATGTGTTAATAATTTCGTTTCTATCCAGAAGTGCACCAATTGGATTTTGTTTTCTTAGTCATACCATTTCTTTAACTTTCTTGTTTATACCTATTAAAGAGATCGTATCTTCTTTGATCATCCTCAAACTCTTTGTAATCTTCCTATATTATTTTTTATCTTTTTTATATTATCTCCGTTGTTTCATTGTAGCAAAATAAACGCCACTTAATTAGGTAAGAATGGAGATAGCTACCACGGTTGTTTTAGGGAGAAGTGTGCCTAATGGAAGATGAAAAATGCTCTGATGAACAGAGATAGACTAAAAGAGATTCGCGAGTGAGATAAATAAGGATACATGTAAGAGAAGAGGGCACCACCCTATTTTTGAACGAATAGGGAAACCTAGTAAATACGAGAATGGAAAGAAAATAAAATAAGAATAATAATGGGAAAGATACAAAGTGATAAAATCGGAAAAAAATAACACAAAACCAATCCGAGAGAGATGCAGATGGTTACTAGACGGGAAGAAAAGGGTAATAAGAAGGGTAATTATATCACTCGATAAGCACTAGCAATGCGACATATATATATATATATATATATATATATATATATATATATATATATATATATATACAATACACATGTGGATAAATTAATAAAGTTACACAATAAATCATACCTAAAAGAAACAATGTCAATTATGGTAAAACAACCTCCAACTCTTCTTACATACATCCATGTGCATAATATTATATTTAGCTTTCCTTTGGAAGACTAGTTTTAAAAGACTGTACTCAGCTATCCTACAGAAAAAATAGTATAATTGCCATAAGTGTCATTTAAATTTATTGTAAAGCTTGGGCAAGATTTGTTCTTTTTAAATTTTGTTTTATATATTTAATAAATATGACTAGTTAATATATCTTTAATTTGCTCCTGTTAAATTTCTCATTGTATAAGTTTGTATAAAGATAAAACGTACCTACACCTGAGAAAGAATAGGTCGAAGCCCCAACAATACAATAATTGACATTTCAAGTGTCTTTTAATTGTTACACAACTGAGGTATCCTTTTAGTGTTAAACAATTGGTATCCAATGATCATTGACGATGATGATAATGTGGGTAGTTGAAGTGACCATTAGGGCAAGACGAAATTCAATGCAATGTAAAAACCCAAGTTTAAACAATAGGTTTAGGGTTGATGATCTAAAACTCGACATTAAATAGATGAAATCATGTACCCTATTTCTTTATTTTGAAACGATTATTGACAGACAGAAATCGGAAATACCAACATAAGAATAACTTTTTCGCTAGTTACGCTAGCATACGGATTTTAAATAAGATAATTATACAATGAGTAAATAACAATAGAACTTAAATCAATGAAAATTTAAATTGAAGAATAATGATTAAACAGAATATTTAGTTGATATAAAAGTTCAGCTCCAACTATTTTTAGAAGAAAAATATTAAAACAAAAAAAAGTTGACAAATAAATAAAATAAAAAAATAAGTAACAGAAACTAAAGAAAAATAACAAACATGTGACATTTATAATGTTATACACTGCTATCAACCGTTATAAAAATTTCTAAGTACAACTGAGAAATTGTTCCCAAAAAAAACAAGAACACAATGTCCCCATGATGATTGTACTAGAGATATCCTTAGGGATCTTGAATTTAGTGGTTTCTTGTTGCCTTTTACATCCTTATGCCATTAAAAAAATGTTTGTTTATTAGACTTCGGGGACGATTTCTCAACCCCAGACCTACCACTTATCAACTCATCCGCCGGAACCCGTTGGTAAGTAAGTGGAGGACTGCTTATACCGACAATCATTAGGTGAATAATTACCTGTTGGTCTACGGGAGGTATTTTATTTCCCTCCTACCGTTGAATAAAGTATTATATCAATATTTCAATCAACGCTCCTAACCACTGGTAAACCAGGTCTGGTCACCTGGAAACACGCTCTTGTTTCAGGTTCCCCTAAAGGCCTCCCAGAAAACCTGACTGACCTAACCTTTCAATTAGATGTTTACATTGTACGTAACTACTTGCAATTACTACCGTGTCATACGCTTACCTCAAATTATAAATATTTATGCCATTACTTTTTATATCACATTGAACATTAACCAATTCTTTATTGACAACGAACTCAGAATAGATGTTAAATATTACTGGGGACAAAATGCAGCCTTGTCTTACACCTCTTCATATTTTCGTATATATATGATACATAGGCTTTATTATCAATACCTAGCTGCTGGAAAATGTCTATTATTTCAGTATTATTGATTCGATAAAAAACCTTCTCCAAGTCAATAAAACATATAAACCGGATAACTAACCTCTCTGTGTATGTGTACAATAACTTGAATACTGAGTAGTGCGCCTGTGGCTTGAAAGTTATTGGCTAGAGAATAAGCCATTAAATTTGTTTTGGACTAGAGTAACTCAGCATGCAGTATATTCATCTGTATTTTGCTTTGGACGTCATTCAGGATGTCCTCCATCATACTAGCCCTAATATATCGGACTTTTAACCAATACAACATCCTTAATATGCCCATCAAGCAGTTTTTTCAAAAGTCTTTAGTACACGTGACTTGCAACTTGGCTTTTGTTCGGTTTTGTCAGGTTTGGGTATAAAAGTTTATGAGCTCTTTATGAGCTTCAATTTTCTTGGTATTTACCCTTAACTAACCTGTAGTATTATTCATATTTTTTGTACGGAAGCACTTCTCTTCCCCAATTGGATTAATCCCGCCCAGACCTGGAGCCCATTTGATTTTGTCCTGATCTACCAATTCATTTTCCATACGTAAATTTTCCCTAGAACCATAAGTTATAGTCTCCACTCTAGTATGCGTCCATGTGCCTTGTATCAGTTTTGTTTCAGACTAGGTAAAGTGCATTCTAAAAAGTTCTTTTAGAAATTATTCACTATTCTGCTTGTATTCATCTGACTCCTTTTGGATTAAGGATTAAGGCTGTACTTATCTGAGGGTCTTTGAGCCAGAACGAAATCATTGACATATATGCAGTCAGTTCTATCTTTTCGCAATATCTTCTTAAAAATTATCGTTTTTCCCTTCTCAGTTCCTTCTTATATTAAGTCAGAACTTTGTGATAATCAACTTCGCCTGATCTTTTGGCAAAATTAAATTTTCGTCGGAAGTCTGTCCTTTGATTTGCAAGATTACCATTCTACCAGAGCACTTTTCTATTAGTATCTATAACACCGCAAAATTATGTTCAATCGCTGACATGATAGCTTCTTAAAAATATTGGGCAGCCATGTCTAGGCTCAGTATATGACTTAACCCTAAATAATATTCCAGGTCTGTTTGATGTCAGTCCAGTCTATTTTTCAAGAGTTCCGTTAAGTTCCCTTAATAGACTCATTACAAAACTTACTTCAAAACATACTGACATCAACCTCTTGTTCAGACCATCGACCAAGTCGATGGTCTGAACAAGACATCTCATCTGACATTATCATTATCAACCTGTATGCGTCCATTGCTGGATATAGGTCTCCCTCAACTCTTTTCATCTGTCTCTGTTTTGTGCGACTTGCATATAGTTATCGATTGTCTGATAGTCTGACAACGTGTCCTACCCAATTCTATTTCAGGGATGCGATTTTTTTTATGGTCCTCTTCTTCATGTGCCTTGTCCGTTCCGAACGTTGGCAATCAACATGGCTATTCTGACTTTGTTTACGGCAGATCTGAATAGTTCAGCAGATGACAATCCGAACCATTGCCGCAAGTTTTGGAGCCACGAGTGTCTTCTCCTCCCTGGACCCCTTCTGCTGTCTATTTTCCCTTGAACGATCAGCTGTAGTACTATATATTTATTATGTCTCATAACGTGACCCAAGTATTCCAACTTTAATTTCTTTATACTTATTCCTACCTCTCTCTCTACCTATCCGGCGTAGTACCTCTTCGTTGGTCACGTACTCAGTCCAGAATATACGTTATATACGTCGGTAAGCCCATATTTCGAAGGCCTCTACTTTTTTCATCAATGTTGCGGTTATTGTCCACGCCTCCATTCCATATAACAAAACCGGGAATACATAACATTTCAGAAATCGAATTTTGAGAGGTAGGGTTAGGCTTTTAGAGGTGAAAATTTGCTTCATGCTAGTGAACGATGCTCTTGCCTTTTCTACTCTTATACGTATTTCTTATACATATTATCTTTTTCAGATAGTCTACCTAGCTGTGGCATTTTGGTAGATTATATTTGATTATGTTTGTGTAACAATGGTCTACTCGGCATTCTGTCAATGCTTTTAACATTTTCTGATAGCTTATCGTATCGAATGCTTTCTCGTAGTCCACAAATATCAGTGCCAATGGTTTATTTCGCCATTCTTAATAGTTCTAGTGACGTGAGGCGTGGCTGTTGATATATCAACTACCTCAGTAGTTTGTGCTGCTCAAAAGGTCAGATGGTGCGCGTTCGCATTACAGCCAATGATCAGTTAAAGTCCATTTATCCTACAACCTTTCACAAACTGTTTGATATCACTATGTGGTGGTTCTTCAGAGTCATCATATGGAAGCTACTCGGATCTAAGAATTATGTTCATATTTCTCCCCTTTGTGATCTTCGTATTTACCGTCTTTAATGAAAGTATCATACAAATTTTTGGGACTTTTGCCAGGCCGGCTGTAAATTAACTCTTCATCAGTTTATGGTATACCTATTATTAGTGCTGGTGTACAGAAAGGGTGTACATATGTGGGAAATTATAAGTATAATTTCAGTGTATGTGGACTGTATTATATAGGGCTGGTTCAAATAAATTAGCATATGTAGTAAAGAGTATACAGACAATAGCAAATTAAGTTTATACGAAGTCTTACCAATATTTCTGCTCCACACTCTCGCGGTTCTCCCGGCTTTCACTCGTGGCTGTTTCAAATATTATTATTGGTTCATCCCTACGATGATCCTCCATAAGGATGATGTCGTCTGCAAATCTCAAATGAGGGAGCTTATCTCCATTTACGTCGATACCATGCTCGTTCAGATGTGTCTTCTTACAATTATGTTCTAAAAGGGTCGGTCGTGAATAGCTTTGAAGAGACGGTATCTTCTTGCCGTACTCCTAGCTGTATACAGAATTTATTTGTTTCTTTTTCAGATAGCCTAGCTGGTAGATTATATTTGATTATGTTTGTGTAACAATGGTCTACTCGGCATTTTGTCAATGCTTTTAACATTTTCTGATGGCTTATCGTATCGAATGCTTTCTCGTAGTCCACAAATATCAGTGCCAATGGTTTGTTTCGCCATTCTTAATAGTTCTAATAATAATTATTCTTATGCGGAATATGTCCGAGCACCGGTTTCTAAACACGTGTTTCCGATATCACGGTACTTACACTGATATCACGAGATAGAACACACTTTGCGTCTTTACACGATTTAAAATAGTATATGCGGTATTTATCGCGTAACCAAAGCGGGAAAGAGATAATTAGTTAGCGGCAGTTAACAGTCTAAAGTGTCTCTTTAGCGATAGAAAACAGCCAAGAGAGATGCTGTTTTTCTTGATAAGCGAAGAGAGAGAGAGAGAGAGAGTAGACTATCCTCAACGACAAGAGAGATACCTGTACCAAGCAATAGGTAACAGGGAAGAGAGAACGACTGTCCCTAGCGGTAGCCGACAATCAAGAAGGTGTCTTTCTTCTTCACTATTTTAAAACTGTCTGTATTTGTATTGGAGTGGGGTTAAAATGTGAATAGGAAGGATAGTTAATAATACAGCGAAAAAATGACATGATTTTTCGTATGTGAAAAAATTGAACATACTGGGAGCGGGCGAGAAGAGTTACGCCACTGGGATAGGGTATCGAATAGTTACTTCGAGAACGAGGGTAAACCGGTATACATTAGGGACATTGTTGTAGAATCTAAGATAACTAAGAACTATTTCAAATCTAGAGAAACTAAAGTCTAGAGAAACTAAATACATATTTGGCTGAAAGCGCCACTATTGGTTAAAGAGTAACCTAGCTTTCTTTATTAACCTAAGGTATTCACCATTTGGTGCGGATACACCTGATTGAGCTAGAGAATCCTTGCCTGGGAGCAATTCGATTAATTTTGCCAGAGGACAGAGGAGTGGGGGAGTCTCTTGATCCTTGATTATTACCATATTACTTATCTTTAAAAGAGCGGTAGCGATGTTCCACTTAATCCTAATTTGTTGTAGTAGCATATCCGATACAAGCAGTGGAACCGTCAGGCATCTGAGAAATGGAATTTTATATATTGATTGAAATGTATCCAATAATGATTTCTGATCCGAGATCAATAGGTCATCCAGTATTTTACTGTCCCAGTCTAAGGGTAATGACCAGAGACGTTGTAAGAAATATTTAGAGTGTACTCTAAAAGATAAGAGTTTTCCTAAGGAGTTATACATTCGAGAAACATAGGCACATAATTTTCTTTTTGTTAAGAGAGGCACCTCTTCACAAACAGGCGGTTTAATAAAGAAATTGTTTTAATAAGGTGACCATTTAATGCCTAGGACTTTACAGAAGTTATTAACCAAGTCAAGATTGACTTCTGAAATGGAGATAAAACTACATTCATTTAAAAAGGCACGAGAATTTGAATATATTTTATAGAGTTGGAAACCGTGAATGTTCAAAAGCGAGCATAGTTGAGAATAAAGTATGTGAATCCTTTTTAAGTTATTGGCCCTGGTCAAGATATTGTCGATATTTACAAAACTTTTTAAAGCATGAGAAGCCACTGAGTGCGTGGTTTGGTTAGCAAAAGTTTGAACCTGAGAGACAATAAACAACGAAGAAGGGCACGTTACATTGACGTTCACTATATCAAGAGGCGGCAAGACAGACTGAGACATCAAAGCCGGAATATTATTGGGTACTGCAAATTCTGTTGTTACTTGGCCCTTTACGAACGGTAGGGTAACGGTATGAGAAGAAAAGACATGTTTGAATAAATCTAATGAATTAGATTGTAGATTGGTATGAGTAAGAACAGTTTGTCTTGAGAGAACTTTGATGGCAGCCGTGTTAGTACGAGGCTGTGAGAGGAGTATTTGATTTTCGTGTATTAGTGGAGGAGGTATGGACTTATTCGGAGGAGAGATGATTTTCAAAAAATCGGCATGTACATCATCTTCTTCACAATGCTTCTTTGCAATTGATAATAAGTCGATAGATTTTTGTGTTGGAATTTTATTCAAATGTAAGCAAGTGGAAGTAAATATATTTTGAGCTTGAATAGAGAGATTATTAACCTGTCGTATATTTAGAGCATATAGAGTTAAGTTTTTAATAACAAATGGAGATAAATTGACAATTGTCAGAATCGGAGGAGAAACAAAAATATTTTGTGTATGTAGAGCTTGACTTGAAACCAAAGTATTGTATTCTTCCAATGTGAGCTTTTGAAGCTCTTATCAAGTACATATAGTTATTTCTTTCATCTGTTTGAACTGATTTGGGAAGGAGTCAGAGTAAAATGTATTTTCAACTTCTTTTTGGCCATTTATATTCAAATCAGTACTTTTAACAATGTGACTGGAAGTGTTCGCCTTAAATTTTGTATCAAATTTAAAGGCTTGTTTAGCTTCTAGTTTTTCTTCTAAGAAACATAAAGCATCCATACATTTTTCATAAGTAATATCTGCTTCTTCACTTTCGAGTATAGTTTCCATGGCCATTTATATTCAAATCAGTACTTTTAACAATGTGACTGAAAGTGTTCGCCTTAAATTTTGTATCAAATTTAAAGGCTTGTTTAGCTTCTAGTTTTTCTTCTAAGAAACATAAAGCATCCATACATTTTTCATAAGTAATATCTGCTTCTTCACTTTCGAGTATAGTTTCGTCGTCAGCCAGGTTTTCCAAAGCATCCAAATATGATTTATAAGCTGCCCTAAGCTGAGCAATATATTCTCTGATTCTCTACAATTAGAGAGTCCTTGTTCATTAGAACTAACAACTTTCACAAAGAGAATAAAACCTAGTGACCCTTGGAAGGAGTACAAAGAGCAGAGAGAAAAATATGTATTTATAAGAGTGTAATGAGATTATCAATCTCTTTTTTTATTGTGTGAAAATTATATTTGGTATCATGAAGCAGAGATAAACATTTTGAACCGAATTGGATCAAAATATGTTCAATCGAGAATGAGATAAAACAGAGAGAATAAGGATTTACATATGATTCAAAAGTGTGCCACACTATGTAGAATCAAGATGTGAGACAAAGAGATATAGAGAGAGATTGGTTGAGATCCGGCTTGAATTAAGACCACAATATGAAGAAAAAGGGTGTACAGCTAAGGCTGTACAGGAAAAAAATTAAACAGGTGGTAAACCTAGGACTTTGTATTAAAGCTAAATCTAACCTTCTCATAGAAACCATAAATTCTGCCGAAGCTGCTTATATACTTTGCTCGAGGTTTTCCAGAAGTTGTTTTATTGAACTATAAAAATTGATTCTAACTTACGACACCAGCTATTATAACACGAATTCTTTGCTTTTCCTTTTTTCTTCGTATCTGGAAATTCATTTTTAAGATTTTTTTCCGATACGTATCTGTACTAAGTCTAAGTTCGCCAATTCTTTTATTCTATATGTTCCTGCGTAATCTTGCAATGTGTATCGGCAGTATATTTGCCAATGACTATTTTCCAGTGCATTTACTCGTTACTGTATGTACTTGTGAATTGTCTACTCTTCGAAGCTGCAAATCACCGTACTATACACCACAGTTTTACACGTTTTTTGCATGCTTTTATCCCACAATAGTGAATTTAATTGACTTGTAAGGATGTTCCTTCTTTATATTTTCTGAAATACGTATTTTTCATCATTTCTATCTAGTCAGTGTCATTTTAAGGTTTTTGTATTCTTTTCCACTTTTCATTACCATTCTATCAATGTTTAAAACTGTGCACAGCCTACTGGCGTATACTTTTTTTTAAATAAATTTTATGACCCTCCACTTGTTTCTATTCTGCGCTTTCCTTATCCAATTTGGTCCCTCAAACTTTTTAGAACATCACCATCTTGTTAGCAATGTGTCCTGAAAACTACCATTTTAGTTTAATAACGGTTTCTGTTTTGTATAAATTAACAGACACATAAATAAACAACAAGAATATCACGTGAAGACAAAAACACAAATAGTGAAACCAATCATATTTATTAACTTTTTGGTCATTAATTAGATATAAATTAATAAGTATTAAAACTGCATAATAACGAGTAAATATAGTCTGTTTTTGTCGTTTTATCTTGTCTAGCCTCTTGCAGACTAAAAGGGTTTACGATGTTAATAAAAAACAACGAGTTATTTTTAAGAGATTATCATTATGTCTCGGTTAAATAGTCGTTGAAAGGTCGTCATTTTCTTTATCTTTAGCCTCATACTTCGAAAATAAAAGACGAATAGACATATTTGTAGATTAGTTGCAATCAAATAATGAGATTAAGCCTTGATGTTTATAAAATAGGACTTATCTAAACAGGATGTTAAACCCAGATCTAATTGAATTATATTGGGTGATTAATAAGTCCATTAAAACTAGTAAAAAGTATATTATACTTTTTTTAGAAGAAATATTGGTCTTAATTAATATTACCGAGTTATTAAGTATGCTTCTATAACTAGTTTGTTGTAGCATTTTTATATTAACTGCTTTATTTTATTTCGAGAAGGAAATCAAAAAATTTCAAATATGAAATATTTTTAATTATAATTTATTCCCATAAAATGGAATGATAGTTAAGACGAGCATTTTTCGAAAACGACTTGATCTAATAAATAAAACACCAGTACTTTAGATACAAAAAATCAATTATGTATTTTTGAACACAGTCATAACTTACGTTTTTCATCACGATTTCACCTCCGGTCAAGCAAACGTCTCTTACCAATGTTCTCTGATATACATCTTACATTTTTCAGATTGGAGTTCATAATAAGCCAAATTATGAGGTACAGGTTTAAAACCAAATTCGTAAATGTTGGACATTAGAACTGCAAACTTAATAGTAGATGCGTTACCCAGTTATAAAAGTAGAAGTTCTACTTTATTAGTTACCATTATCATCATATATATTTTTTTCCTTTAGCCTTGTCATGTAAAATTTGTCAGCAAAAGTTGCTGTTGGTTTTTTAAATTCATGACTAATCCAACGCCATTTAAATTTTATAATTTTAATTTCTATTTTTTTATCAATTAATAACCGTAGTTCTTAAGTATTTCCATGTTTCTGCTAAATACAGTAAAAATTCACTTTGGTTTGGGAGTGAACCAAGTTTGTTCCCTTTCTAATGTTATTCGAACAAAGGACCTTCCGTAGTCAGTAAACATAATTTTTCGGAAGGCCTATTCTGCTTTTTATGTAGCTCTATGCCGTCGATTGTATTTATCAAGCTTCACAGATAGCAGAGCTCTTCTACTTATTAACTTCTATGGGTTTCGTCTATTATATATTGTATCCTTCCTTCTAATCTGTATATCTTAATAGATGTATGGTGAATATGCAGTTCTTTCAGGAATTATTTCTTGGTTTTTGACTATATATTTTATATATGACTACTTTTTGACTAAGTGTATACACAGTGACTATAATAGATATATTTCAAAGAACAAAAACTTTTAATCAATAAAAAAAGCCAGTTTCAACCATGTACAGAAATATTTAAAATACTTAATATTTAAAAACAATATTTAAAATATTTAAATTGTAATAAGTACATTGTATGAAACTGAAAGCTTGTAATTTGTATTTGTCTTCTTCTTTTTCTTCTTTCTTAGCTTTTCCCTATTTTAGAGGTCGCGATTCCTTATTCTTTTTTGTCATTTATTTGTTTAGTCAGTCAGTCCTTCCATCTTCTCCTCTCGGTTTTACTCTACCTCTCTTTTCATCACCTTCTAACAGCTCTATCCTTCGTCCCACATAGTTTTCATTTCTACGTCTGACATGACCAAACCAGTGCACTATTTGTCCTTGGATCTTTGTTGAGACTCTAATCGCACCGGCGCTTTCCCTAATTAACTCATTCCTGATCCTGTCCCTTCTAGTCTTACCCATCAACCACCGCAACATTTTCATTTCAGCTACTTCTATCTTTTTTTCCTGAATTCTCTTTACATGCCA